CGTATAATATCAATAAATTTTGAACTATCAATCTAAATCAATTGAACAAAATAAAAAAAAATAAAATATTAACAATAAAGATATTTTACTTTTCCTTGAAGTTCAGGAGGAAAACGTTCTTGAAATTTAACAGTTGTACCCTCAGTATAATCTCGTTGAATAAATAATTTTATTGAATGTTCATTTGTTAAACGTGTTGTATCTTCCATGTTATAAAAAATGATTAAGAAGAATAAATGAATAAATAAAAACAGTAATGTTTGTTTGGTTTAGTTATTGGTCAAGAAGACCTATGAACAAAATAATACTAGATGACGCTACTAAACAGTATATAAAGAAGTTGAATGATATTTGAACGTTCTGCATATAAAATCCAAGTAAGTTTTGTACAAAATTGTCTTTCAAATTGTGATGTCAAAACAATCGTTTTAAATATGACAGAGAATAGATAGAATAAGAATAATTTTAGATGTTCGTTTTATTGATTGATTGATAAGACAAATTGATACAACATAGAGATTTTACTCTTTATAATAGAGAACAGAGATTTCAATAGGTTGGGATGACATTCGTTTCAATAGATAATCAAGGATTGAACCGAGCTGATTCAATATTGCGACGATTCTCCATGGGTCGAATTCTAATATGAAATATAAAATTTTCCGAAAAAATATTACATATTTTCACTAGAATTATTTTTCGAAAAATCTCTTGTATTCTTCTATAGGCTGGAGTATTTCTACAATGAGCAACGAATATATAAAGTAAAACAAAAGAAAAAAATCGATTTGTCGTTGTCTTAAGACACATGCTTTATATGCAACAAAGTATCCTTACTTAGCTATTCGCGTTCATCAACAATTATAACATTATCATAAATTACTTTTTCTAATTCTAATATTATTCCTACTGAAAATTTTTAATCATCAATTTAGGTGAATACTTTTACTTCAACTACCGGTGCTAGTTCATCATCGCATACAAAACAGTCAACATTCGATCGGATTCAATGCCTATTGATTAAGAACTTTGATAGAGAATAATGATAGTTTCTAATTCTTAAAAAATGACAGGTCAACGTATTGTTCTTGAATAACGAACCATAAAGATAATTCTTTCAGTTAAAACTTTTTTTTTCAAACACATACTCGCACATCATAAGATTAGAAAGGAGAAGCGAGATAATTTTCCCTCCTAAATTTTCTTTTGGTTCTTATCTGTCTTTCTGAAAAGTTTTTGTTGGATGCTATATAACGAGTTTTTATTGTTTTGTATAAAGCGGATATAGAAAAAGTATGCATAAGAGAAAGTTTTCTTTGAATATTTAGGGAAAATCAGCCAATTTACCGTACTCATGTCGAAATATATGTTATTATGATAGTTCTGATGTTTGAAATTACTAGCGTGGAAAATGAAAACATTAACAGTTGATTAATGAATTCAAGATCATACTATCAGACAAATGGTAGGTCATAATGAGGATGTGGATGTAAGTATGGTTGAGTGTGTTCTCTTCACTCTCATCTACTCCACACGTACGCTCCTATAAAAGAAATAGATATGAAATATATGCATAATTCAAGTTAATTTTCTTCCTGGTTTTTCAAATTTCCTCTTCTTAAAAAGTATTTCTTTTTTTTTTTTTTTATGAATATAAATGAAATAAATATATTCAATCCTTTATCATCAAATAAATAACAAGTAGAGTTTATCAATCAACCTTGTTTAACAAAGACAATGTTTCACTTTTGTTTCCAAGAAGACATAACTGATTCTTTCGAGAAAGACAAAGTTTTTTTATTTGTACATTATTTATTCCTACGTTTAGAAGAATTTCTTCTCCTCCAGAAGAAAACCAAACGAAAGCAATACACATTTAAATGATACTTTTAGTCTTGAAAAACGGTTTTAGATGATCATTATTCTTCTATGAATGACATGTTTTCATCTGTTAATATTCTAGATTTGATATTCCTGTTTTATTATGGATCTGCAAAGTTTTTTTCTTTTTTGTAGTCTTCTAGTTCCAGTTACGGAACAATGTTGCAAATTTTGATTGATATATTTTGAATATCGCATCATCAATAAGAGTATTACCATTTATTCTATTTGAAATTTGTATTCTAAATTTGAATTTCTTAATATGCAATGTACAATTTTAATAAACAAATTTTGATTTTTGTTTTTTCTTTATTGATCATTATCAAATGTTAATCTTAACAAAAAGCAATCATCAAAAACTTCACCTTGTGTATCTGTTCCTCCGTGAATAAACATATAAGGTATAATTTTTTTTGAATCTTGCTCATTATCTATAAATTCTACAAGACAATATGCAAAATCAAGTCTAGATCTTGGTAAAGATCGACAAAGAATTTCTGTCCATTGTTCATTACTAGCTGACCATGACCATGTATCATTTAATGCTTGACCACTACGTGACAAACCACCAAATATAAATAATGTTGATGTATTTTCAATAGAAACTCCACCATGTGCTGCTCGAGCCATTGGATTAGATGATGATGATACATGCTCTTTCCATCTTGGTGGTTTTTCATTAATATCAATTGAATAAAGTGATGAAAAAAATGTTCGTCCATCCATACCACCATGAAGATAAAGACGAGAATTACCAAGTGATAATAAACAATGACCATGTCGTTGTTCAGGTGGAGATCCATGTGCTGGTACACATGACCATGTATGGGAAACTAGAAAATTAATTCGTATTTTTTATTTTAAATAAATAATTTTCTTAATAGAAGAAAACAAAAATACCTAAATCAAATCGATATAATTCAGCATCATCAACTGCTTTAGCACCTTGAAAACCACCACTGAATATATATAAACCATTTTGAATACAACAACTTGAATGATGAGTTCGAGGTGATACTAATTTATTATCTTTTGGTGTCCAATTTTCGATTGTTTTTGTTGAAATATTAAATACATGAACATCATTAAAATTATTTTCTGTATTAGCACCACCAAATATTATTATTTGTTCATTATTTTCCGATGATAATACAGCTGAATGTTCATAACGTCGAAGTGCTAAATCTTCACCAATTAATTTTGTCCATATAAATGATTCAGATGTTTTTGATGGTAATGAAAGTGAATGAATATCTGCAAAACATTCCGATGGATTGGCACCACCAATTATATAAATATTTGATGATGAACGAATAAATGTACTTGAATGACCAACACGAAGTTGAGGTGAGCGAGAATTACTATGAATTTCAAACCATTCAAACGGAACAAGAGATGTTAATGATGACATTGTTTATGAAAAGAGATAATTCAATTCAATTTAGTTTTTTTTTCTTGTTGCTAAGACGTTTTTGTGTGGTTCTTCGTGTTGAACGAATCAATCGTAAATAAAATGGCTATAACGAGAATCTAGTGACATCTCACATATACTTTTTTTTGATTTTTAAAGATTTTATTGATACTTACTTTGATAATAAGAATTTTTTTCTGTCGATTTCTAGAAGTCTGTTAAGGTTTTCGAAGTTCTTTAATTATTTTCTTTTTTCTAATGTTCTATCGTTTTCGTTTCGAACAGATTCTCAATTTTTCTATCAGTTTTAGTGTATCGACTAGTTGTTAATACTTGAATAAAAATGTAAAATTTAAAGTTTTCTGCAATTCTGCAAGATGTAAACATAATTCTATTATTCTTATCAGTAAGTGTCACAATTCTGAATTTTTTCAGAAATAAGAGGATAAGTATTTTATTTGTTGGCAGATATATTGAATCGGTCAATCACTAAAAAATCAAATCATGGTACATTTATTATTCTTCTGCGTATTCATTATGATTAATTGTTTTAAATGCTGATAGTCATCAGAGGTAAGAACCTCTTGTTGTCTAGTAATAATCTTGACATTGTTACTCTCCAATGCTAACAAGTAGAATTTCTCAACCGGTTTGCGCTCTATGTAACTTATAAATACTACTAAATTATTGAATAGGCGAGTGTGATAATTACATTGACTGAGTTGCACGCAAATCTGGCATTATTCATCATCATTATTCATATTTTAAATCTGAAACTAATGCCTGAGAATGTATTCATATCGATCTGCTTGTTGTTTGTTATTGAATAGTAAATAAGAGGTAAGTTCGATAATTCTTTTTTCTCATTAGAGTTCCATTATTGACAATCCATAAAAGACATAAGCGTATTACGAGTACAGCAATGAAAATAGAAAATAAACCGATTGAAAAATAAAACATTTGTTTCAATTACCACATGAATCATATTTAATTATCATTCATCATCATTTATCTATATGACTCGTATGATATTGACGCGAAAAACACGTATAAAATCGTTCACCTTATGTCTTATTCAATGTAAATATTATTAAAAAGCTTAAATTTGTAATATGTCTATAGAAAAAAGTAAATAAAAACGTTACAAAAAGCAGAGATAAGAGTGGTTCGTCTTTTTTTTTTTTTGGAACCGAATCGATCCGATCCCACCTCTAGTAGATTCAAGTTTACTCAGAACTTGTAACTCCCTCGCCTACGATAACAAAGTAATTATTGTTGCTCACATAGCATAGACCACAGAATTTCATAGACTAATAAACAACTAAAGAATTATTTATAGGATAATGAATAGCTTTCAAGTTTATTCAAGTTGAAAGTCAAGCATAACAAGAATGAAACAAAACAGAAATGAGTAAACATAACAATAGAAAAAGAGACCAGAATAAGAAAGAAAAGATAATCATTATTATCTTTTCTCTTTCTTCTAAATTCTCGAGAGTTTTCATCCGTAATACAAAAGAAAAAGAAATACATAACAACAATAACAATAGCAAGAATAATATCACTTTATCCGAAAAACAAAAAAGTAACCAACAAAACAAAAAAATGTTTTGAATAGTTATAATAAACAAGGGCAAAAAAAAAACAGAAGACCTAGAAATGCACTAAGAATGTGCAATACAAAAAACCAACAAGGCATAACAAATTTTTAATGTGTTCCTACTTTTCCACCGCGTCGTGTTCCACGACCAGAAACTCCTCCATCATAAAATGGTGCTGATGCTGAATGTTCATAAACTGATGTTGAATAACCAGTTGATTGATAATTTGTTGGAGAAGCAGCTGTTGGATATGTTGGACGAAATGTATGCGAAAATGGACGACGTTTTTTTGCTTCGACATTAATCTGATGACTTTTTAAAAGATTTTCATGATCAGCTACAATTGCTTTAGCCATTTCAATTGATTGACATACAACAAATGCAAAATTTGCTGCACCAATTTGAGATCCTGTATTACCAATACGAACAACAAGAAGACGACCATATGAACGAAATAAATCATGAATCTAAATTTATATATTAGATATTTAAATATTATTTTTGCATTTCTCTCTTTACTTCTTCTTCTGTAATTTGAGCTGAAAGATTTCCAACAAATATTTCTTGATCATCTGTATAACCAGTATGTAAATAACCTTCTTCACCAGCTCCATAATACCATGAATCATCATAATATTCGTTAACATCTTGAGGACGACCACGTGTACCTCGTGCATTTCGACCACCCGATTTTGATGATCTTTGTTTAGCAGATTTTGATGTTTTTATTCCAGTTGCAGCTGGTTTTGATTGATTCTCATTTGTTATTTGTGTTGTTGTTTGTTTTTCTTTTTTTCCAATAGCATCTCGATAAGATTTTGGTTTTGATGATTGTTCTTTATCTTGAGTTTTCTCTTGTTCATTAACAGGTGTAGCTGGAGGTGTAACATTAGCTGTTGAACTTGTATTTGTTTTAGATTTATCTTCTTTTTTAATTATTGTATTAGCTGAAGATTTAATATTTGTTGAAGATGATGGAACTATTGATGTTTGTACTACTGAAGTTAATGTTGATATTATTGGAATAGTTCCAAACGATGCCACTGAAATGAATTATATTAAAAATATGTATATTTGTGAACATTTTTGTTTATTAGATGAGTTTAATTAGATTATCCAATAAGAACATTAAAAACAAGCTCTCAAAAGATTACGGGAAAAATTGGTAGTTTTTTTAATTAATACTAAGAGTATACTATTAAGTATTTATGAATAAAACATAACGCCAGTTTCAAACACCTTTGCACAACACGTCTGGTTAATTGTTATCTGCTTATAAGGTTATTGGAGAGAGTCTAAAATAATAATCTAGTATTAGAGTTTCATGCTATTTCTAACTATAAATTCACAAGATTTTTTTCTGACTTAAATTTAATTCATTGAGCGCAAATGTGTGATGTGAGTCAAAAACGACTTCTGTATAGAATTTTTCATGTAGTTTAAAGTACTAGTTGCATAATTCAAAGGTCATAGATAAATCATATAAATGATCATCTGTTGATCTATATTATGGTCGAAATTTTTAGAATTATTTATGTCACTATCGAAAAAATTTTATAAGATTTGTTTCTCGATACTCGATTGTTTCCTATTGATAACCACATTTTATTTCAGTTTTTTCTAATCAAGTCAAGTTTTTGTGAAACAAGTTCTAAAACAAGCGTTAAAGTATACGGATAAAAATGTGGATCCATCTCTAGAGTGTATCAAGTCCGAAATTTTTGAATCTAGACTCGCACCCAACTAACGGAAAAATTTCAAACTCGAACTTGACTGGGCCCGGCACCAACCCAGCGGACTCTACCCGTCTTCTTCCTTCCTTCACATACCGTGACAGATATTGTTGATATACGATTAACAGCTATATATCAATAGCGTCTCATTCTAATATATGAACTATTTATTGCATTTCTACATATTAAAGTACAAGGATAATGAAAAAAATATGTTCCAAAATAGATAGAATAAAGCAATCTCCTGGGATTAACAAAAGCAGCTATGTCATGCTTCACAGTTTAATCCCATAGAGATTACGCTCACAACTTTTATTGTTACTATGGAAAATTACCTTCATTATTATCTGTTACTGTTGTTGATGGTGATGTTTTTGTATTAGTATTATCTGTTGTTGTAGTCCATATAGCATCATCTTGATATCTGAATATATCATTGTGTACGTAATATTTTTGTTTAGCATTAACTGTTGGTGCAAGAACAAATGTTTGAACAAAACGTTTCATAATTGGTGTAGGATTATCAGCTATTGATGATGAAGATATTTCCCCACAAACTTGTACAACAACTGATGAACCAACAGTTGAATGACAATCAACTTGACGAATTTTAACATGACGTTGTTTTAATGATAATTCTTCAATACGCTTAGCTATATTTTCAACTCCAGTAACAGTTTTACTTGGATCATCATGCATAAATGTTGATGATAATGAATAAAATCGATGTAAAGATTCAGGATGTTCATGAAGAAGACGATAATATTGAACAACAAATGCTCTACCAATTTGTTGTGCTGATACATCACTTGAATTCCCTGTTGTTGTTGCTGATGGTGATGATGATGCCATTCTTACCATTATATAATTAACAATATAAAAGAATTAATAATTATGTTGGATAAACTATCGAGAAAAACATTTAGAATATCTAAAAATAAAATCACCTAATTCATTTAAGTTTAGATTTATTTTATTTATAACTTTTATTTTTTCATTTATTTCAAAAGTAAACTAACGATAATAATATTTATATGGTATAGTTGAACAATGTCTTTCATTCGATTCAATTGACAGATCATAGTTTTTGTTTAATAGGAATATAATTTAACTATACTAGTAAAATTTCGATCATTTTTCTAAAGAGTATATTCATTAGACTTGAAATATTTAAACAAACAAAAAACAGAAAGATTGAATTGATGAAAATTGTTTACTTCTTGATTCTAATAAACACGTATTGCATTTTTCAAAGACAAAAAATGCGTAGGCCAAAATAGAATATGATCATCTTCGATTTGGCATTGATTCGTTACTAATTAAATTTAATTAGCGAATATTTCTATAATATTATGATGGAAACACACTAGAGTTTTACAATAGACTGCAAGTCAAAAAGAATATTTTTGATGGAATTTTTAGCAAGATTCAATTCAAAAACGTTACTTCATCAAAATCAATATTTGAGAGATCGACTCATGTCTACGAACTATATTTGTTATTTTGCTATCTTCAAAAAGAATTTGTATTACTTAGAATTGGTTTTTGAACTGCTCATTCAGTTAAAGGAAGACTTTTCGTTTCTGTATTCACACTCAGTCGCATCATTAACAATGAAAAAACTCGTTTTTTTTTATTGCAAAACAGAAGTATGCTCAGAAAAAAAACCTTATATGAAGAGTTTGTTGATTGAAAAGTTCTTTACGAAATGTTCCATTCATTTTGTCAAAAATACTTTTTGAACTTCTAGAATTTGTAAATGGAAAGACATACAGTGAAAAAATTTATCCTTTTCTATGTCTCATTGCGAACATTTTTTGTTCAATAATAACTCAACAAAACAGAAGTTCAAAGGCTGAATTTTTCGGATTATTAAAAATAACTCAACATATACTGAATACATAAAAATTGACTAAAACAAAATTTAGAGATATGCACAGTTTTTATTGTACGAAATATTACTTCGCTAATAAATGAAATTGCACATATTTAGAAATTTAAAATTTGATCAATTGTTTATTATTTTTTTAATTAACTATCGAATAATTTTGCTTTTATTCTTTATCAGTTAATCTATTTTCATTATAGTTTTTACCCAGAATATTATTCTCATAGCATTATCCTTGCAAATATTCAATAAATAAAAGAACCAATTTGCAATGTCGTATAGAAAATTTTAAAATCTTTAATATATATTAAATTGATATAATTAAAGTCTAGATTTAGTACTAAAAAATGATTATATATTCAAATATGGAATAGGAACAAGAAACATACAACGAGCTGGACCAATGAATAATCAATATCATAAATCAACTTTGTGTATCTATAATGATAATATGAATAAAAACTAAAAAATAACCAACAATAACATACGAAGTTCTATCATAATTTTCATCTATTTTTAAATTTTCAATATTTTTAACCATTCCTATAGCAAAAAAAAAAATTAAATATCAAAATAAATATTTTCTTTGTTTTTTTACATTTCGATAATCTTCGGTTCATTTTTCACAATCAATAAAATTACGACAAACAAATGATTCTCATGCTGATGTATTTTTAAATAAATAAAATTCGATATGATCAGATTAATCAGAACATTTTGATTTAGCTAAACATCCAATATATTCTTTTCTATCTAAAATAAAAATTTTATCTTCATCTATAACATTTGTCTTGATATTATTTAACGTCTCTATAAGACCATTCATTCTAGAATATTTTATTAAATAATATAAAAATCATCATCATAAAATCGAAAATGTTTTTCATTTCTTTTTATGAAATATAATGATATTCATTCGTAAAATATTTATAAGGATTTTTTAGATAAGCGTCATTTGTAGATATAGGTAATGAATTTATTCTATAATATTCACAAAGATGTATCATATCGACAAAATTTTTTGAACCTTTTTGTGCTAAACTGTATTCAGTTTTCTATAAAGAAAATAATTATTATTATTTAACATTAAACAAAATGATTTACCTCTGTTGGTAATTGATATATTGGAAAACATCGAATGTCATTTAATTTATAATACAAACATAATGTCTAGAAAATATAATCAATGCTTAGTAAATGCCATGTTTAGCTGGAAATTATTTTTTTAATCGAGATTAAATATCTCACATTTATAATTATTTGTATAGATCAGTGTACAAAATTTTGTAGGTTGTGTTTTTCGAAGTTCTTAACCTCTGAATAACTCACGAGCGATAGAGAGATCTCGAAAAACGGCGTTGTACTTCTATCAACTAATCCGAAATATGCTATTAATTTTACTTGCATAGGGATGAAAACTAAAAAAAAATACAAAATAAATGAAATTACTTGAGAGTTAGAGTGAGTGTGAAGTCCTGTTGACAATATTTAACCTATGGATAATATTCCACAATGTTTTAATTATTAAATTTTTACATGATTACGAAGAACATTAACTACAGAAAACAAGGTACAATGGGACATCTTTGGTACCTCGTCCTTATTTCTCTCTGTATGGCATACATAGAGAGATAAAGATGAAATAGAGTGTGGGTGAATATCTTTTGTGTACTCTCACCGACAACCTTATCTATTCTAATCCACACATCCACAGTTACTCTCATAAATGGGACCAGTTTGGGCTCTGCGACTAGTGCATACGGCTCTGGTGCATCGCCATTATCAGAGTGCATCGAAAACGACGCAATTCTGTCAGTTTTAAAGATTTCAAAAATGTTTACTCGTTTTGGTATAAAACACTATGATAAAAACACTTTCAAAAAAAAACCAGCGGTAGTTCGTCGGTAGTTATCACATGGGATTAAACTATTTTTTAGTAATTCCGATCTCTTTTTCTCTAATATAGTAATAAGAAAAGGTAAAAATTTTTATATGAAAAAGTTCTCTATTATTTTGACATATTGGTTGTCTATTCAAGTGATTTCTAGTCTACATAAGTGATGATTCTATTTTACTGTACATCATGAAGAAAACTTGTCTATCATCGAATATCGAGAATGGAAGAATATGAATGGCAAAGATGTATAGATCAGTAAATCAAATTTTTCGATAGAGTCATATCCAAACTACAAAATGGTCTACTTACATTTCCATTTCCATTTCTTTCTTTTTTTTAGACAAGCATCTGCTTTATATATATCTCACTTAGAAACGTCATTTTTTCTAATCGTAAATCTTGTAGCTTAGAAACATTACAACATAGAAACATGAAACTTAGTTTGGATGTGAAGAACTGCGCGGGAACTGAAACTAAAAAAACGACTTCAAAATCATTCGATCGAAGCAAAAGTTATAACGCAGATACTCGAAAACATCAATTGTACAGAAAAGTTATAATTCGCTCATATATTTATATTAGGAAATAGTTTTTTAAAGTGATATATTCAAGAAGAATTTCTTTTGAATACTTACATAATCATGACCAGTAGAACTTGACTTTTTTGATTGAGGTCGAATAAGAAAAGTACCATATTCATTAGTTCTAGTAAGAATTCTTACAGAAAAAGAACAAATTTAAAATGAAAAGACTTTTTTTCTTCATTATTTACCTTCGATAATCAATATTTTCATTTAAATAAAAAATATCATTCCATATAAGTCTCTAATGTTTATTTAAATCAATTATATTTTAAGAAAATATTATTTATTCTTCTTTTACCTTTCCTTGAAAAGAATTTGAATTATCATTTGATTGTAATTGAATACAAGGTAAATACTGTTTATTGTTTTCATTGACAGAAGATTGAGCATGTTCAATTGATTCAGCTTTTGACGAAGATGACAATTCACAATCGGACTCAGTTATTAAAAGGTTCATATATTGTTCTAAATTTCATATAAGTCAATATAAAATAAAATACCTATTCAAAAACAAAACACATACGGTGACTATGACGAACATTTGTTGTTGTGCAATCTTGATAACAACTAAAATAAATTGTTTTTTTGTTTTTTTAATAAACATTTGTATTAATTGTTTCACTTACAAATCTATAAAGCATAATGTCTATTTTTTTTTATATATGAAAATTAAAAAAATCAGCTTACCAAGATCAACTCTTGGGTTAGAATGTCCTGCACCTTTGAATAGAAAATATTTCAATTAGATTTCAATCGAATGGCATAAGATGAATTTAGCAATACAATCAGAAATCAATTAGAGCAAAAAAAAAAGAGAACTCGTTCCTTTTTTTTATAATATTCAAATTCAAAGAACTCCTTATTTCATTACCATTTTCACTAGGTGTTGGTAATAAACTGACAAAAATAATAAAATAGAAAAAAAAGAGACGAAAATTTTCATTTAATTTACTATGAGGAACTCGCTGGTAATGTTTTTGATTTAGAGTTTGAAAAAACATTCTTTAATATTTGTACCCATATCTAAAATAGATTCTAGGAAGAAAATAAAACTTCATTTTAAATTTACTTGTCGTTCAAAATTATCTTTTGCACCGAATATTTCTGTTTTATCTTCTTGATTAATAAATTTCAATTCAAATAAAAAGCATTTCGGTGCTGGTTCTATAATTCGTTTACATCGATCATAAATTCTAATAAAAAGAAAAAAACAAAATAATACATTTAATAAAAATTTTTATTTTATCATTACTCAGTCGTTTGATTTATTTCAAAAAAATATGATGGAGATTTATTTTTATTCAAATATAAATATAATCCAGTTTTATACTCGAAATTTTCAAGTGGTATTCGAGTTAATACAACAAGATAAGTTTCAACTAAAATAAATAATTTTTATTTATTGAAAAAAAAAAGAAAAATCAAACATACATTCTGAATCACCAAGAATTTTTGTCTTATATAAATATTTTAAATGGCTTTGATAAATAATCCATTCCGATTGAATATTTTCATATTTATATGATGTATATTCAATCGGAGATTTTGACTTACTAAATATTTTTCGAAAATTCAATTTCAATGATCCGATTTTATTTTTATCACCTGAATAAAACTAGTTTTTTATTTGTTTAATATATTTTTTATTTTTATTCTAATTGGTCCTTGAAATGATGTCAAATAGTTAAAGAAGTAATTTTTTCCAAATAAAATAAACTTTTAAAAAAATACCTTCTGAATAATTCTCTAANGAAGTACACACAATTAAATGTACTATAAATACTGATAGGAAATTTTGGATATTCCTCTATTTTAAAATTAGCAGGGCAGGGCAGGGCAGGTTACAGGTTACATTAGAAAGTTTTAGGGCAGGGTCCGCAAAAATATTCACAGGGCAGGGCAGGATCAGGTTACAAAAAATTTACAGGGCAGGTTACAGGTTATAAAAATCCTGCACCCTGCAGCCCTCTAAACTCAACGACCAATTCAATGTTCGCACGTGGCCCTTCTGATCCAGGGTTTTGTCTTTCCGATTTTGTAAGCAGTGGCCTATTCAGCCATCTAACATGTTTTTGTTCTCTCTAATAGGGCCCTTTTGTCCCTTTAAAATTTTTTCTGTTAAGTTTAAAGTTTTATTTTTGTTTTGTTTTTTTGTAGATTCTGATGAAGTCAAGTCGTGACTTGACAGAAACTAGTCAATAATAAACTCTACAAAAGAAAAAAACTTTTATTTGCTTTAATTTTTTTCAACTATCTCGAGATTGTATATCAATAAAAGATAGGTTATTTCTTCATAAGAGTAATCGACTACTCTTTGTTATTCGTATATAATAAAAGTTGATTTATCTTTTACTTCAATTTAACGTATAGGTAAAAACGTATCGATCATAATAAAATTAGGGCTATGGTCAATCGTTTGATCTTTATATGATATTTTTTGAGCTAGTGGATGTCTTCTACAAATATGTTATGATTTTTAAAATGCTTCCTTGTTGTGTAAGCATATATTCACTGTTGATTAAGTACTTAAGAAGTAACAGTTATTCTTGATTGGCTGAATAATTATTTAAAATTTGTTCACTTTGTCTATCGATTATCAAAATATCTCCCTCTTGAGTGATTTTTGAAAGATAGAAGCATAGAAAATGTTTTTCTCAATATTAAAACAACTTGAATTCTATTTTATAATGACACAAATTCGATATTAACATACATGAATACAAAACAATTTTTTATACTCCTTTTCAATCATTATATTTTAGTTCATTGATCTTGAATGATATATTTAGTTTATATCATGCTGAAAAATTGTTTACTAAATGTAAACATTAGGTGAATACATGTCCAAACTCGTATTCTTTTTGTTTCTTTCTCTTTACTTTTAAACAAAAGAACAATCGTATAGTACTTCATAATAAAAATGATACATACATGAGATTAAAAAATTGCACTGATAACAAACAATGCAATGAAAACTTAGATATTTCAACCAGTAAGTATGGGACTATCAACATTGAATAATCATGATCCAGTTTCTATAAAAGAGACTCAGACCAACATAAAAAGACATTGTGTAGATTTGCAAGTATATCGCCATGAATGCGTTTACATAAATTGAAGTTTTTTTTAGTTTTCTTGTTATCCTGAAACATAATTTATTACTCATATTGTAATGAATTCTTATTCTATATCATAAAACTAGATTGTTGATGATATTAACCGAAGGGGAGAAAGAACGAAGTCTTGAGTAAGATACCATAGAGGATCCACAGAATTCTATGATTCTGCTCTTGCTCTCTGTATCAACTACACTAGAGATGCACTAGAAACTTGATTTATAGCATATAACTAAAAGTATGCGACGAATACATTGTTAAAATTCAAAAACTTGTTCACAAAAAATTTTCATTTTATCTTTTTGGTTATGGTTTTGATGGGACTTTCTTTTTCTTTGTTTTCGATCTTGGCGAATCTGGTTTCGCTGTTGCTAGAGTTGGTTTACTAAGTAGATCTTGGGGTAAATCTCTGATTGGATCAGTAAAAACCATCCATTTTTCTCTTGGTACATCTTTGAATGCCTTGAGAAATCGTTCTTCATTGCCTTTTTCACCTTTAACAGCTCGAATGAAAATACGAATTACTCGTTTGGGATATTTTCGTGCAATAATTCCATAAATTTCTGGATCAATTTCACCTGAATCTCCTACTAATACCAATGAACGAAATGTATTAAACACAAAATAACGTAAATGATTCATTTTGTGCAGTTTTGTATCTATTTAATGATTTATAGATAATAATAGAGTAAAACAAGAAATACCACACTTACCCTTAGAATGAACGAAATTATAAATTGACATTGAAGACCAACGAAAGTGACTATTGAAAGTCAAAAAACAAGCGATAATAATATAAAGATAATAAATAAAAAATATGAAATCTTACCGCATATGAAAAGTACCATCAGGAAATTGATGTTCATCAACAAAATCTTTGGTAATTGTATATAATTGATCAGGCATAGCACTCAAATAATGAAATGAACAATTGTGTCTACTCTTCCATCCGCGATATACTTCTGGCATACCTATACAAGTATATCAATAGAATATTTATCAAGAGAGTTGAATATTAAGAAAGAAATTATTCATTTACCTTCTACTACACGATATTTATGAATGAATGTATTTGCTGCCAATCGAATTTTATCTAAAACTTCACTAATTTTAATTGTATCATCAATATCAGATATAACAGATAATCCATATCTTTCTAGTAAAAAAATTTTTCCTTGCCAAAGATCAGCATTGTCTCCAATAGCTTTATATATTACAACTTGGTTATTGTTTACATTTTGTTTCAAATTTTGTACATTTGCATGGGGAATAATAAATGATGTACGAAATTGTCCTTCACCATCTGTTTTCGTTGTGTAATTATGTTTTGTTCCAATCATAATATGAATTTTTTCATATTTTTCATCTTGTACCATAAATGGTTTTAAACGATCACGCTGAAATGTATCATTATAATAAACCATTTGTTCGGAAGTAGCAAGTAAACGAGCTATACGTTGAGCAGCTGATGATGATGATTCACCAAGAACTTTATTACGTTTCGATGATTGAAAACGCCAACCATGTAAATTTAAACGCCAATCACCTTCTTTACGTTGAAAACCAACATTTGGAAATAACATCATTTCTTCATGATCAAATCGTGCAACATCAACACCTAAATTTTGTGATGCTACTTTTTTAATTTTATCTTGTAATTTATGAATTAATTGACTTTCAATATTAGTAACAAACACAATAAATAATAATACGACGAGCCATAATGAACCCATCGTCTTACAAGAATATTTGCAATAGAATAAATATAATATGGTGTTAGATTATTGAAGAGATATTTTTTTCTCTTTTTTCTTCAGACAGCGAGATAAAACCAGTGTATCTTGTCATCAATTAGCTTATCTAACAGAGACTGTCAAAAATGACAATTTATACAGCATCAAGATAATATCAGAAGAAGTATGTCAGAAGACAACAACCAAATCATAATATGAAACGTCATCATGTTGAGTTTTATTTAGCAATGAAAGAGAACTAATTATGATTGCAGAGTATGGACGACACACCAACACTAAAAGGATTAGCAATGACTTCTCCTAAAAGAAATTAGGGAAAGACATCCGAACCAGATTGTTTCTTTGAATTTTCTATGCCTTTTCTGTATACTAGAGTAGCACTGCGTCATCTAACGTACACATACATATTCAATACTACTTGGCAGTCAATGTACAATGATTCACACATATAATCTAAGAATTTTGTTTATCGCTATGCTGATGAATGAGTTTTTCATCATATATATCTTACATGAAATTGTTTAAGTAATACATAATCAGCATTTTGATTACTCTGAATCCTCTCGTTCCACAGTAAATGATATCCAAAGTTTACTGTTTGATCAAGATCAATTGTGTAATTTTACTTCGACTTTCATCCTCTAAGACTTTTTTTTTCTTTGCAACAAAACTGACAATTCAGTTTTCTAAATTTAGAATCAAATGTCTGAAAATAATTAGCTATTTTTTCACAATCAAAGAGACGATTAACTAGCTGCTAACATTAAATAGTTAATTTAATAAATCTGAGCGACAAGCCTACGATCTTTCTAGTCGATTGATACATTGACAGTTTTTTCAAAAAACAAAAAATAATTGTGTAAATCACAGATAACTTTTTGTATGCATATCAAGACGAGAATACAATGATCAGTGAATGGAAGATAATAGCAAAGAAACTTGGCTTTTTTCTACTTTGTTTTGAGCAAATCTTTTTTCCAATACAAAGTGCGATACTTATCTGTAGTGCGTAGTACATCATTAAGTGAATTAATACTTAAGATTCGAAATATCATGACTTTGACAAAAAGAAAATTCAAGTAAAACAAGCCAGAATGCACACTAAATGATTGCAGAAACAAAATGGATCCATTTAAAAGTTTATTGCTTCCCATTAAACAATTGACCTTGGTTCACCTATGTTTCATATATAATTTGACGCTCGTAAAAAAAACTTACCTTCAAGTTTCAATACGAGCAAATCAAATACCCATAACTATTATAGAATCATTTTGAAAACTATTGATTACTTTTCGAATATTGTGCACAATAAAATACCTTCAAATCGTTCAAGCGATTTCGACATTTATAAATACATTATCCTCATATATTCAAATGATGAACAATGTTACGTATTGCATGTTACTATGAATAGAGAATTGCGTGATCAAATTCTACACTCGTAAATATTTCTCGAGTCAAACATTTGCAAAAAAAAAACAAAAAATAACATTCTTTTAGTCGTCATCTGAGTCTTCACCATAGTAACGAATGAAAGAATGGCATAATTCATATGACAGAATGAGTAAGTAACATGTATGTATGAAAGAATACTATAGAAATTATTTCTTGTAATTGAAAGATTTACAAAGTTCAATTGTTCACGAAATTGATACACGACAAAGTACAGCATTGACTGTATTCGATGGATCTCGAGAAGATGAAAGTAAATTAGCAAAACAATTTTGGAACTCAGTGGTACTCATACCACCTGTTGAATCAACACTTGTTTGTAAAGAAATTAAACAACGTACAAAAAGTCGAACATTGAATGATGGAACAATAAAACGTATGCTCACATCTTCTTTTGTTTTGTTTTAACTCAATTAAGTATTTTTTTTTTTATATTTATTTTTTCCAAGCAAGATTTTCAACTACAATTGTTAAGACTAAAAACGAAAAATCAATGAAAGGTTTGTGAACATAGAAGATACGAATTATAAAATCTTAATTTTTAGATAAAATGCACGATGAAACAGCTGCATATCAAAATGTTGAAGATGAAGCTAAACGAATAAAAGCTGTTGAAAAACGACAACAACAAGTACGACAACTATTTTGTAAACAAGCCAAAGCTAATCGAACTAAGGTATATCTTTCAAAATTTTTTAAATACTTTTTTATATATTAAGTTTCATATTTTCAGAAAGAGCAATGGATTATTCCTCAATTTGGTAACTATATTAGTAATATTCATCATCAAAGAACAACCATGGCTCTTCAGGATGAAACAGATGAGAAAGATTTTGATGACGATGAACGACAATTAGTTTGTTCTTTACCAGATTAAAAAAGAATACAAAATTGTAAATAAAAAATGATACAAAAAGAAAAAGATTTATAATTCCATAAGTTCTCGAAAAGATTGTCGAATCTTTTTGAGATCTCTTTGAGAATTGTTCTCATCTAATGTAACGTCAATAACTTGCCATTTACATGTACTAGCACGAGATGTTGGAAGAGCAGCTAAAAAACGAAACGATATTTCAAGATTAGTTAATAAGTCCTGAGCTGTATTTTCGTTGGATTTTTCTTGATTATTTTGATCGAATGAAGAATTATATAAAACAATAAGAACTGGAACTCGATGAAGAGTTGGATTTGTAAGTATTTGTGAAAGTAAATGAAGATTTGCATCTAATCTTGATCGATCATGTATATTAATTAACCAAAGAAGAAGAGACGTGTTTGAATAATGATAAGACCATAATGATCGAACGGATGATTGGCCACCACAATCCCATAATGTGATTTTATGATATCGACGATGACATAAATGATGGCAACGAAGTTTTATTGTTTCAACATTATAACCTATAAGCATGTCAAATCATTCTTTATTTCTATTCTTCTACATTGACAAAAAAATGTCATTGATTGAATTCAGAATTTTATAAATGTTGAATAGTGAATATTATTACTTTTATAACTGTGTTGATACATTTGCAGTGCCATACTGTCATCTTTCATACTTAATATCGAGAGAGAAGTGACAAATATCCAAAATAAAAATTAAAAGATTGTCGTAGATAACTTATACTCCTGATGAAACAAAAAGCTTTTTCTTGAAATTAACTTACCAATTGTTGGTCGAGGAAGAGAATCAATTTTTAATTTTTTTTTATCATGACGTATTAATTGTGTGAATAATTCTGTTTTCCCAACTCCATCCAAACCTAGTATGAGAACTTTCTTTTTCGAACATGAACGTTGTTTATTATTAAAACGATGAAAATCATTATCACTACTTCGATGATTAAACGATGATAATAATGACTGAAGGCAAGACAAGGATAAAAAACGATTATAATGTTTTCTGTGTAAATTATTCGAATAATTATTCTCGTGTATTGGTCTTGAATTAATCGAACCCATTTTACACAATTGGTGTTGTTTGACTTTAATCAAATTATATAAAAAAAAGAAAACATCAATTTGACTTCGTCTGGACAGTTAACAAAAGTAATAAACGAGGTTTCACTTCATTTTATAAGTATGTATGTGTATACATAACTAAATCTTTGTTGATCTTGTTAGTTTTTTTTGCACTACTATGCATAAAATAATTGCTCTCCTCCTCTACTTGACATACCGATTATTATATTGGCATTACAAAAAATGCACATGAAAAAGAAAAAAGAAAGAGAAAATCGATATAATAATCACAAAAAACAACATAACTGTCCTTCTCTGAAACCAGGTAATCGATAAAGTAGAGGAATCGTCGGTATGGTATATTGCTGCCATTATCAACAAAAAAAATGGCACCTTGAATTTATGCAATTGATATGAAAAGAAATGTTTTTTTTTTCTGTTCTTTTCTATCAAACTAATCAAACCACAATGAATAATCATGATAGAACCACTATATTTCTTCAATTAGTCACCTATTCTATATAATGATTCAATCAATTTTATTTATAATAGAAAGAATTTTACGTGATTCAATACGCTTACATTGTTCAACAAATAATTTTCAAATTGTACTTTCAATAAAACATATGTTGATGAAATCAAAAGTAAAAAAAAAAGATTTATATTTTTACATAAATCTATACTCAAATAATAATTAGAATTTCAATAAGAAGCATTATCCTATATTCTCAATATAATTTTATCTATAACTAAAATGGCTTTGCTTAATGTGTTAATTGAAAAGCATTCAATAATCCATTTGGACGAATATAAGTAACTAACCTTAAGCATATATTCACGTCATCATCCTCATCATCCTCATCAGTCTATCCAGATCATTGTAATTGATTTACATGTATCAGCTAGCCATGAATGCATCATCGTTAATTGATTGATTGCTAGATTACTTCATAAACTAGTTATATAAATGCATGTCACTTGTCAATATTTTCATTGAATTAAAATGAATTCTATGAATGACGATCAAACTTCATCATGCTCATCTGATATTGACATTTGTAATACAAGTCCGAAGTAAGACGAAATATATGAAGGCAGAACATTGATACTAATAATTTTGTATATTGTAGTTCTTCACCAAAAGTATCCGAAATAAAAATAACAAGTACACCATATCCAACGTACAAACCTCAAGTTAACTTTCATTCAATCGAATCATTAGCTATATCCTCCTTAAATACATCTTCATTGACTCCTATTTCTTCTCCTTGTTCTTTTCAAAGACATGGTAAGTTACATCCGATATGTCTCTTTTCAAAATAAGATAAACACAATGCAGAAAGAAAATATCAAGTTTTTCAAGTAAGTAGGTGGAATACAGGTAAGTATAGTTTAGCGGTTGATTTTTTTTTCGATTTTTGAGATCGAATATGATCACTGGTTTTCTATATTTTCTTTAGATGATACTGGCTATAGTTCATTAAGTTCATCTTCGTTAGCACATGATAAAGATAATAAGGAAAATGTTTATTGCTCAACAACAACAACAACAGTTAGTGAACGAAAAGTTAGTATTTCACGAATAAGTTACATATTGAATATATAATCTATTTGTTTCCAGCCGCGACGTAAATTAACTGATTGGCAAATATGGCATTTACGTCAAGCATATTTAAAAAACCGATATCCATCACCTTATGAACAAGAGCAACTTGCTGTACAACTTCTTTTACCACTATCATCAATTCGTATTTGGTTTCAAAATTATCGTGCACGATCTGGAAAAAAATGACATCTGTTCTTTTCTCTTTTATGTTGTGTGTTTTTCAGTAAAATAAATTGAACATAAAGTTTCATTTATGTTAGTACACAAATTCATAGTATAACTTTTTTTCATTTGATTAAAATTAATTGTGACAGACATGATTATTGGGTAAATACAGTAAAAACTCTCTCTAGTGGACATCCTTCGTACTTTTCAGAAGTGTCGACTATAAGGAGATTAGGTCTTTTCTAAAAACCAAGATTTTTTGCAATAGGAAACAGATTCGTTTTCTAGATAACTGAAGAGTATTAGTAAATAAAATAATTAACTTTTTGCTGATTGTTACATCTTTTTTCGTGAATTTTTCTTCTTGGAAGATGAACAGTTATTAAAATATAGTAAAAACCTTTCTGTTGTGGACACCATAGGGTAGATCATTTGCAGCAAATGAAAAGCGATACGTGGGACTTTGTAAAATGTTCACTAAACGGAGGTATTCACTATGGGAGGTTTTGTTGGAATCAATACAGAAAAATAAGTAGTTAGTGTTGAAAGCAAGAATTCGATTTGTTAGAAAAATAATCATTACTGCTAATCTTGAGTTCTGCAAGTTAGTAAAAACAAAGCAATGAAAATGTTGTAGAAAAAATCTTCTTATAAAATGAAAAGAGTAAAAAAAGCTAATTATTCATCGAATGTCCATGCAACTCTATTTTCACGTAATAATACATCAAGTGGCCGTTCACTTTGCCATAAAACTTGTTTATACCAATCTTGTAGATCAGATCTCATATAATCTTTCACTTCAACGACATTAAATTTTTGTTGAATAATACGTTTAAATACTTCTAAACCAATTTTATATGAACATGCTTGACCTGGTAGAGTTCTATAACGATAGATTTCTGATGTTATAGATGCTTCACTTGTTGTTAAATATTGTTTTGCTAATTCAATAACTTGTTTAGGTGTTTGTCCTTCAACATGTAAAAGAATTTCTGCAATAATACGAAATGTTCGTAAAATATTTGATTGTAAATAACCAAAATATACCCATGGATCATCTAACATTGAATCACCTAAATGTTCAGCAAATAAAGCCCATCCTTCAATATAACCATTACATGGTTCAGAACTAACTGCAGTTAAATAATTATGATTAGGTGAATGATAAGATATATCAAGTTGTAAATGATGACCTGGTATTGTTTCATGTAATACTAAATTTTCGACTTCATATTTAAAATTGCCATTAGCCCAATGACAAACATTTAAATAAAAATTTCCTTTATGATAGTAACCACCAGCTAAAAGTGGATTATCAAGAATAATAAGACCTGGTGGATCAAATTCTTTAAATTGATTTTGTGAGATAAAAATACGCCGATATTTTGATACACATAATTCATGTGCATCGATCATTTCTTGTTTTGATGACCAATGTTGACTTGGATCATAACCAACAAGCATCATTTTCTCGTATACTGATTTTTGTTTATCTTCATTATTAGTTAGTAAACGATTACATGTTTCATTAACTTCTTCCATAAGTTGATCTAAATGTTTTTGTGCCCATTTTTTTATTTGAATAAAATCATTTGATGAATTTAATTTTAAACCAGTATTATATTCAAATATAAATTGATAGAATTGTGGCTCATATTGCGATAAACCTTGTTCAGGATGTTCTAACCATTTTGGATCTTTTATTAATTCAGTTAAATACATTTTAAGTCGAGTTGTTTCTTGAGTAAATAAACTAAAATATGTTTTATATTCTGGTCCAGTACTATCATCAGGTAATGGACTAAAATCAAAATTAGATATAAATTTATCTAATAAAACTTTATTAAAAAATCGAGATGATTCAGGATCCATTGTTTTATATAAATCAATAATATGATCAGTAATTTCAGGTAATAAGTGTTTTTCACGATAAAGATTATCAAATGTTGGTTTAGTAATTAATACTGGATTTGATAAAATAAAATAAATTGAAAGAAAATAATTATGAAAATATGTTTGACTGATTCGATAGAAAAATTTTCGACGAGGATCAGTTTCCATATTAAAAAAAAATTGTTCTACTTCAGTAAGTTGATGTTGAGAAGCGTAATCTTGTAATGCTTTATTGTATGCATCGAGATTTCGGTACGTTTTGAATATATCCAATGGTGTTATATTATTAACATCAGATTCCAAATTGAATAAATTTATTATATATTTGTCCATTAGGATTTTTCAAGTAAAATAATCTGAAGAGAAAAATATCTAGTTAATTTTTGAACTATCAATTGTGACCATGACTTATTTCATGAATTGACCTCGGACCGTTTAAACTAAAAAATTCAAATCAATTGATCAAAAGACATATTGAAATAGATCAACTCATAATAACAAGAGCCTTTGGCGAATTTTCAAGATTGAAACTGAAATGAGACTGTCGTACCGTTATTCGAGACAATGAATGAGTAAAATAATTTATAGTTAAATAAATAAATATTGATTTCTCAACTATTTTCATGAATCAAAATAAAGAAATGTTTGAAATTTTCCATCTTCCGACATCTATATCTTACGAAGTAGCTCAAAGTGATTAAAGAATATTTCAATATATCATAAAGAATATCAAGGTCTACGTTAATGCCTTGCTCTTCAGAGTAACATATTTTTAGATGTATGGTTTGACATTATAACGGCTACCACCTTCATCATTTATCATGAAAGCAAAATAAAAGCTCAACGAATCGGCTATAATTCATACGATCGACTCACATCAAAAGACATGTTCTCATTTCACATGAATAGTTGTCCTTTGAGCATCCCCATGCTATTTTCTTCTCATAATAATGAGTAAATATTATTCAACTATATCAACTTGTCTACTTGCATTGTACTTTGTTATGTTAATCTAAAATACTTAAATCCCCTATTGTTATTTATTTGTAAAAATATTTTCGTTGATTTGATTTAAGATTAAATAACAATTTCGTTTTTTGCGTGTGAAATTTTTTTTATTTCTTGTTCGGTAAAAAAAACATTTATTTGTTAACAATCGTATAACATGTGAAAAAAGTTACTAATTATGTTCTTTTTTTGTCAAGTTCTTTTGTTATTCATTCTTCATCATTTTCTAAATTAATACTTTTACCAAATTTTCCATATAATTTAACTTTTAAATCACTTAAAATATTTTGAATTGCTTGTATACGTTGTTGTACATCATCAATATCTTTTTCAATTTTACCTTTACGTATATCTAACGATGTTAAAATATTTTCCGTTGGTTCAATAAGAAATGTTTCACCAACAAGTAATGGTGCTGTTGGAACATCAGATAAAATTGATAATTCATCTAGAGCTTCTCTTGCATCCGATAATGATACTAATTCTTTTCGTTTTGCTTCTATTTCTTCTTTTAATTCCGTTAATTTAGCATTATTACGAGCAAATTTATTTATATTTTGTTGATCAGCATATTCAACATGAACTTCAACGTCTTTTGTTGTCGACATTTAATATATAAATCTCTATCAGTAGTATAAATAAATTGATGAAATAATGTCTCCAAGAAAACGACAACATAATTGGTTTGTTTCTTTTTTCAACCAATGAAGTTTCAGTTGTGTTCAATATGCTAAATAAAGGCGACATCTAAATATAAATTTGTCTGAATGTTCTTGACGACACTTAAAAAAAGATCTGTTGTGTAAAAAATGTCCGAAGAAAAAAAAGATAAAATCAAAATCTTCAGTACTTGCTGATGTACCGAAAAGGGCAAGGAGGTTTTTCAATTTGGCTATCCTCCACGTCATGTTTGTTGTTTTTTCTTTCTTCTTCCGTTACCACTATAAAAGTAGAATCATAATATTTTCTTTTTTCTGCGGTCTATACACATTATAAAAGACGAACAATGATATAGAAAATTCACCACTGTTTTAAGAATTCGTAGTGGGATGAATGGTCGTTCGATATACTTTGCCCCGCCGGTATTTCTCTTCGATGAAATCAAGTCTTTTTTTTCTCAGAAATGTTCTGAGAGTCAAGCAAGAATGATAGAAATTTATAAACAGAAAAACAAGCATATCATTTCCTGAAAATTTATCTTCCAAGATTTGTGAGCCTCCGGAGATATTTACTATTAATAGTTAGATTAATTCAAGCGTTCATAATGAGAAAAAGCATATTAAAAGATGCGTATATAATATTCATTCTTTATTTTCTATTTCAGATCTGTATCAGCAACGATAAAATAGGACAATGTCGGCAAAAATTGGTAAACCAGCACCTACTTTTAAGGCTACAGCTGTTGTCGATGGAAGTTTTAAAGAAGTTTCACTTCAAGATTATAAGGGCAAATATGTAGTACTTTTCTTCTATCCACTCGATTTTACATTCGTTTGTCCAACAGGTATAATATATTCAGAATCGATTCATAGGATAAAATAGAAATTTTCATTTAGAACTTATTGCCTTCAGTGATCGAGTTCAAGAATTTCGTCAAATTAATTGTGAAGTATTAGCTTGTTCAACTGATTCTCAATTTAGTCATCTTGCTTGGTATTAAACAGAAAAGTTTCTTTTCTATTATTTTAAATAAATATTCTGTTCTAGGGTTAATACAAATCGAAAACAAGGTGGTCTTGGAAAAATGAATATTCCATTAGTAGCCGATAAGAATATGGAAATTTCTAGTAAATTTTTTATTCATATCTTATATAAATTTTTAGAAAAAAGAAGAATATTTTCTCTTTAGCTAAATATGGTGTATTAAAAGATGATGAAGGTATTGCATTTCGTGGTTTATTTATTATCGATACACATGGAACTCTTCGTCAAATAACAATAAATGATTTACCAGTTGGTCGCTCAGTTGATGAAACACTTCGATTGGTTCAAGCTTTTCAATTTACGGATAAGCATGGCGAAGGTATATTTATATATATATATATATTGAAATTAGTTTTTATTCATTTTATTTGTATTTAGTATGTCCGGCTAATTGGAAACCAGGCAAGAAAACAATTAATCCTGATGTATCAAAATCCAAAGAATATTTTGAACATGCAAATTAATTCATCTCATGAACTTATCGAAAAGGATTTTCATATGTTCCTTTCTTTTCATAAGTCCCGGTATATCATCTTCTCTTCTCTTGATCTAATAAACGAAAAATGTAGAGCAGTAGAAAACAATATTTGAGATTTAAAAATAAAATAAAAAACGCATCATTTCATATCGCTTGGTTAGAAAAAAAAATAGTGCATGTCTTGTTAATTGATGTTGTCTTATTTAAAAAAAAATAAATCCTTATCCTATATCGTGTTTAACACATATTTATTATCTTATCTTTTGTTATTTTTTGATTGCGGGTAATTTGATATGCAGATTGAAATTTTTATATTTTTCTTGAGTAAGTATTTTTTGAACTGTAGGAAATAGAAAATGATGAACAAGTTCAGATACAATCATTTCGATGCCAGCTTGATTTAATCTATATATATACACAAATGACTGAAAAATATTTAATTAAACTATAAAAATCATACAAAGAATTATTTATTTCATCGGTTATATTAATTAATGTTTCAGTTATTTGTTTTATTTCTAATTTTGCTTGTTCATTAGCAGTATTTGAAATTGATTCAAGAATCAGATCTTCTAAATAAGATTTAATATCATTATTTGAATCCAATGAAAACATCTAAAATTTTTAATATGATTTTGTTTTATATATGAAAAATAAATACTTCTTGAAGTGCACAATCTTCAAACATCTGTCGTTCAATAGATCTTGTACGACAAGCAGTTTCTGTTGTTTCTCGTTGATATCGATAACGATCAGCAAGTAATACAAACAAATGAATTATTTGTTCACATTGAAGACGAAGAAGTTCTTTTGATAAAAAGTCAAACATATCAGCCATTGTTGCACCTTCAAGATAATCATATATTTGAGTACATGGTGATATCAATGTGTTGCTATCGTTATCATTGGTATTATTTAATGATGATATTTTATCATGTTTTAATCCATTCCTTAATTCATCTAATAAATGTTGTCGAATTTGACGAACATTTGAAATCAACAAATACAAAAAAGTTGTTTCGAATGAAGAAAGAAAAAGACGAGAATAATTACTTTTGATTGAACAATAATACCACGTAAGTAATTTTGTAGTTTGATAATAGCTATACGACGATGATCATGTCTCTAAGGACAAAAGAAAATGTAAAAATATAAAACAAAAATTTCAATAGAAACTTCTATTTGTGTTGGTATTGTTTGTGATTGTTTAGCATGATTTATTAATTCGATTTTTTCTACAAATCGAAGAGATTTTTTTTCTGGTATTAATAATTGTTTAGTTTTTTCGTCTTGAATCAACTAAAACTTTGTTTTTTGTTTAGTTTAAATTTTTGAAAGAAAATTATTCTTATACTTGATGAGCTTTCTCTAAATCTCGAATATGACGAGATGATTTTTTATAATGATTGTTTTTAAGTATCATTAATCGATACGGTTCATCGATTTCTGTAATTAAAGCATTTTTAGGTAATAAATCTTCTAATTTGAATATATTTATTCGAGATTGATGAATATTTCGATCAATCAAATAATTAAAACTAGAACAAGGTGTATTTATTTTAGAAGTTGTATTTTTAAAAGTAGTTATTATATCATCGGGTCGTTTACGCCATGGTGGTTTCAACGAAGTAAAACAACCATTCCCACGTTGATTCATACCAATAACTCCCAAATGATTATAACTTGTCACTGCATTTATTTGAGCTTCTCGTAATCGATACATACGTTTTATACGACGAATATCTATAAACAAAATCAGTTTTAATGACTTTGTTTTTTATTTCATTGATTACCTCGAGATGTTTCAATTTCAAGTCGTTTATGCTGTGATTGCAATTGTTTTTCTTGTCGATATATAAATAAATCAATGATATTTTGTGTAAGATCTTCATCAGTTTTAATATAAGTATAAAGATTTTTTGTAAATAATTTATGATGTGTATCTTGTAACCTTATAAGCAAATAGATCTTGAATATAAAATAAAACTAAAAATCGTACATTTTGATTTCTTTTTCACGTATTTGCCATTGACGTATTTCACGTTCAATAACTATTTTTGCACGTGTCATATCTATCGTATGCTCTTGCTCCCACTCACGACGAGCTCGTAAGCGTTCGATAAAAGAAATTTCAACAGATGTTACCGGTAAACCTTTTCCTGTAAACAAACTATTTAAAAATGTTAAAAACTAAAATTTTTACTACCATAAGTAAAGTCAGATAAAGCGAATACTTCAGGATGTTCACCACCAGAAATGGTATATGTTGGTGAAAAAGGATCTGTTTGTGTTGATTCCTCTCGATAATCAGTTTGTAATCCAATGTGACGTAAATAATTGGTTATTTTTTCGTTTGTCATCAGTTTTGATGGAGTAAAATGATTAGAATTTTCTTGAAAAATAAGTTCCTTTGATCTAAACATAATTTTACTGTTTAAAAAAAAATTAGACAAAAAAGAAAGAGTGTTCTGTGCAGGTGTCGAACCTGCGACCTTCTGCGTGTTAAGCAGATGTGATAACCGCTACACCAACAGAACCACGTTCTATCTACTGATTTTTAGTCGTATGATTCTAACCCGAAGAATTTTCCCAATAAGATAACTTAAGACATAAATTTTATTATATGTACAACAAACTACTTAATCGCAAAAGTCATAATTCTTCTTCTCTTATCCTTCTGTTGTAACTCGTAATTATTAAAAAATACAACTCTTGCAAAAAAGTTCTGGGACACTCGACAACAGTGTATATATTTGGCATTATTATTGAGGTAGCTGTCAGCTTTTATTGAACAAACGAATCATTGCCATTTGATATTAGCAAAAGAATAACAAAGATTTAATTAAGCTTTATTCAATTGAAAATCGTACCAATGAAAGCAGTATGAAAAACTGACTATTATAGATATTTTCATTGTAGAGATTATATCATGTAGAGACTTTTCGCTGGAAAATGTTATTGATCAAACAGAAGTTTTTAGAAAACTACTATGAACAAGGAAAAATCATTTTTTATGTTTTTGCTGTGGAGAAGCAAAATAAATTCGACAAAACAACACATTTTCGGACTCTCTAATCTATCAAATAACTGCATTGAACAATAGCGAAAAAGAAAAATTTATCTTAGGTTTCAACTAATATTACAGTGTTTGATGTATTAGAGAGTCTGAAAATGTGTTGTCTTATCGAATTTATTTTACTCTTCGACATGAACAAGAAAGAAAGATATGATTTTTCCTCGTTCACAGTAATTTTTTAACAGCTTCCTTTCGATCCTTAGCATTTTCAGTAAAAAGTCTCTGCCTGGTAAAATGTCCAGAATGAGAACAAATCTACAATAGCCAGTTTTTCGAATTCTTTTCATTGATCCAATTTGCAGTCGAAAAAAACTTAATTTATCTTTTTAATTATTTTATTTATATCAAATGGCAATGATTCGTTGATTCAATAGTGATCCCAAATATATTCTTACTTTCAGAGCTGGCTTAAATATAAAGTATTGTGGAACTATCATTAAGTGTCTCAGAACTTATTACGAGAGCTATAATTCGAAAAAATTTATTTGTTTTTATAATGACAAATAAAAAAAAAAAAGTCTGTTCTGTGCAGGTGTCGAACCTGCGACCTTCTGCGTGTTAAGCAGATGTGATAACCGCTACACCAACAGAACGACAACAATAAATCGTATTTTTTTTATGTGTTCAATTTAGTACACAGACTAAAGATCTTACTTGCTTTTTGTTTTGGTAGCAAAAAATGATCGTTTTTTATCCGACATTGGAGAATATTTGGGTAGATCAGGATATTTTGTTCTAGGACATCCGTCCGCATCATTACACTTCAATCGTAAATGACTATTAACAAAACAATTAATATTATCGTAATGACTTGATCTAAGCAAATATATAAATTACGAATTAATATTCAATAAAAAATTCTGTACATACGAAACAGTCGACTTTGAAAAAGTAGAAGTGGGACAAGGCAAAATAGTCCGAGTCAAACTCTCAGTGTTTATATGAGACATTGGTAGTTGACAAAAGTTTGATTTAATGTCAAACATCTTGTGAAATAAATCAATTGATGTTTTCGCGCTCAATGCACATTGATTTTTTATTAAATTCTATGATGATGATTTAACGAGATTTTATTTCATCAAGTGAAACAAAAAATATTGCCTATCGTACAAATACTTCATATCGACAACTTTGCGTAATCAGAAAGCAATATCAAATCATTGATTTTATTCGTAGTATCTACTAATTACTTGCAAATTGTTACACTCTCCCCAGGTAAAAAAAGTTTCTTCAATAATCACTAATAATCGATGTATGATTATAATCGATTTTTAATCGATTATTAATGATTATTCAAGAAACTTCTTTTTTTACATGGGTCATCTTCTGTTAAACAAGGTTACTATTGATTATAAAATTAAGCAATTCAATGTTTCTTGTTTTATCATGAAACTTGTCAGTCTTACTATTGCAGAATAGACCTTGAAATGCGCCTTTCAGCCAGATGACTCAACGCGACCTTTAAGTGGTTGATTTTTCGACTGGGTCACTTGATCTTAAATTTTTGTTGGAGCGACCCACTTGAGTTTGACGCCTTTTTTCAAAAAAGATTTATCCATTCATTTTGTAATTAATCACAACCAGAAAGCTTTCCTATATGAGCGCTTTGTAAGTCTCATTAGCAAATAAAACAAAACAAAACGTTTCTTCAGTTGAATAATCTTCCTCATCCATGGATAAAACTTGATAAAGTGACAAATGTACTATCTAAGCAAAAAAGGTTACTAAAAAGATTAACTTTAATCAATCTTTCATAATTAAAAATTGTATTAAAATCGTTTTTCTTCACTGGTAAGTGTTATGAATATTATTGAACTGGACTAATGTTAACAATAAACTAAAATTAACAGTCCGTACTAAAAATAGTAGTATGTCTGACTCTTTGAACCTCTTCAGCGAGCATCTTACTGCTGGGAGATTCTTATTGATGAAAGATAGTTTTCATGAGTCTGGAGTACCGGTAAACATATCTTGCTGTTTCATTTCAATAAGAAATTCATCTTATTTCTCATGTAGTTTTCAAAAGCATTCCAATAGTCAACCATATTAAACTCTTGAGACTCTACTTGAAATAGAAATATACTAATATTGAGTCCTAGACCAGGTCAAGCAATCAAAAAGTAGCCAAATTTCGAGGTCTGATTTACACATATACTTTAATTGATAATTTGTTATCTGCACTACTCTTTCTCTACAGAAATAACTATCACAAGTAATGAAACAAAATAAAGAATAAGGAACTAAAATATTAAAAACTATGTCCTTATCCATGACTTTGTTTCACCAAAATTAAAATAAAGATATTATTCTAATGAATTAATTTAGAAAATCAAAACCTTTTTTCACAATGTGTTCTTTATTTATAATTTTAAAAATTTTCTA